CTGCGGGGCACAGGTGGGCGCCGGGCTGTCACCTGGGTCGCGTTGCGGATGCCGGGGTGCGGGCGCCGGCGGAGAGACCGCGGGCTGCGGGACTGCCGCACCCCGCAACCTCCGGCCTCCGCGGGCAGCTTGGGCAGGGTTATGCGGGGCAGGGACTAGGAAGTTGGGACGCGCTCGAAGTTCAAACCTGAAAGGAAACCACTTGGCTTTGTTTGAGAGGCGCGTCCATCCGCGGCCGCGGTCGCTCTGCAGGGTCGGTGAGCCGGGCGGGGGCTGGCTCTCCACGTGCCCTGGCACGGAGCACACTGGCGTCAGCCCTGCTGGGCTTTGCGCTTGCCTTTCTTTTCTTTTCTCGGCTCTGGGAGATCTTGTAGTTCTGACCTTTCTCCCGTAGTCTGAAGGCCGAGCATTGTCTACCCTCGTTATAGTCCCAAAACTGACTTGGATTCTGATATCCCCAGAGGTTTCTTAGACACGAAGGCTACTCTAGTGCGTGGTTACATAAAATATTTTGCTTTTCATGCAAAATAAATTCTTACTACTCAGCACAAAATCCAGTTAACAATCTGTACACTTTACAATGGGGGAAGTTTGTGGTATGTAAATTCTATCTTAAGAAGGCTGATTTTTGAAAAAGTCAACAGCAGTTTTTTTTTTTCTTCAGAAGTGTTGACCTTTGCTTTCCAAAACAGAACCTATTTTGAAACTCATTTTGAAGCCCGTGTAGATAGAAATAATGCCTGCACAAAATTTTTAAAAAGGTGGCTGAGGGGCGGGGAGGGATTGGAAACAGAATAGAAGTGCCTAAAATAAAAAGCGAAGTCCTCTTTCATTCCTTGTCTTCATTCCATTCTTCAGAGGGCAACAGTGTGTTTCCTTATAGAAGTGTTTACTTATGTACAAGCACATATATGTGCATCCTTTATTTTATGTAATATGTAATTATAATATATACATACTCGGCACAGTATTTTTTCACTTTATATCTGGGATACTTTTCCACATGTGGTCATAGAAATCCATTCATTCTGTTTGTAGGTATCTATTTTCATAATAGCTTTTATTTAACCAGTACCCTCTTTTTTTTTTGAGTTGGATTCTCACTCTGTCACCCAGGCTGAAGTGCAGTGGCACGATCCCGGCCAACCTACCCTTGATCTGTTGGGCTCAGGCCATCCTTCCACCTCTGCCTTCCAAGTAGCTGGAACTACAGGCGCATGCCACCACACCCGGCTAATTTTTTTTTTTTTAATCGTAGAGAAGAGGTCTCACCAAGTTGCCTAGGCTGATCTCAAACCCCTGAGCTCAGGCAATCCTCTCGCCTCTGCCTCCCAAAGTGCTGGGATTACAGCTGTGAGCCACCATGTCTGACCAACCAGTCCCCTCTTAATGAACATTTAGGTTTTTTCCAGGTGCGGTTGTTTGTCTGTTTAAAAACTACTGACACTTAAATGGGGGGAGAAGATCAGCCCCAGCCCAGTGTTTTTAGTTTTTCTCTTGGAGTTATTTGGTTTGGTATTACTGCTTTTTTTTTTTTTTTTTTTTTTTTTTTTAGTTGGCGTCTCATTCTGTTGCTCAGGCTAGAGTGCAATGTCACCCTCACGGCTAGGCAGCCTCAACCTGCTGGGCTCAGGTGATTCTTCTGCCTTAGGCTTCCAAGTAGCTGGAACTACAGGCATGCACCACGATGCATGGCTAATTTTTTTGATTTATTGTAGAGATGAGGTCTCGCCACGTTGCCCACGTTGGTCTTGAACCCTTGGGCTCAGGTAATCCTCTTGCCTCGGTCTCCTAAAATGCTGGGATTACAGGCGTGAGGCACTGTCCCCCGCTAACATTGATCTTTAAGAGTAGTAAAGTGACCAAGCATGGTGGCTTACACCTGTAATTCCAGCATTTTGGGAGTTGGAGGTGAGAGGATTGTCTGAGCGCTTGGGTTTCAGACCGGCCTGGGGCAACATGGTGAGACCTCTTCTCTATGAATAAAAAGAAATTAGCTGTGCATGGTGGCACGCCTGTAGTTCCAGCTACTTGGAACTCTGAGATGGAAGGATCACTTGAACCCAGCAGACTGAGGCTGCGGTGGCTGCAAGCATGCCACTGCACTCCAGCCGGGGCGATATAGTGAGATTCCAACTCAAATAAATAAATAAATAGCAAAGTGTCTTGTAGTAATTAAACTTCTTCAAATGGTTAAATTGTTCCACTGACTTGCTAAATGTTCTTGATGCAACACAGTGAAGTAGTTAGGTAACGGTAAACAGTCCTCAATCCTGCTATGGGGTAAGGTGATGCAAAGTGCAGGGGAGTAAAAAATCCTTATAGGAGTCTCTGAAAAATTACTGAGCGGTGAGGCAGTGAAGGTGTTGGGGAACACCTTTGGTGAAGACCCAAGGATATGTTAGTTTGTGAAACAAAATATTTTTAAAATGTCAGGTAGGCCGGGCTCCATGGCTCAGCCTGTAATCCCAGCACTTTGGGAGGACGAGGCGAGTGGGTTGCCTGAGCCTGCGGGTTCGAGAGCTGCCTGGACAACTTGGCAAGACCTCGTCTCTACACTAAATCAAAAATAAAAATAAAAATAAAGATAAAACATCATGTAAATGCCAGTTAAATAAACTTTTTAAAAAATTAAGAAATAATGCTTCTTGTTGATGATCCTTACCACTTGCTGACATTCCATTCTTGCTGTCCTCTTGCCTTCAGTTCTGCAGCACGAACGAGGCTCAAGGAAGGGAGGAAAGGAACACCTACAGCTATTTAGCTTGGCCCAGATGGTGCCCATCCTGGAGTCTTTCTGGGCAATTCTTTTTCTTTTTAATTTTGTATTATTGTGTGCACACACACACACATACACATATATTCTTTTATGAGCAATTCTTTAACAAGGAGAACTGAAAATGAAGCTTTGGGGAGGGAGGGGCGTCATGAGATTGCTATTACAGATGTTCTATACCTCAGGACTAAAAATGCATTCTCAATAAATATTTGTAAATGTATTGAATTATCAGAGCCAAAATCGAGGTGTAATCATTGTTTTTTTTTTTTTTGAGTCGGAGTCTCACTCTGTTGCCCCGGCTGGAGTGCAGTGGCATGCTCATGGCCACCACAGTCTCGACCGGTTGGACTCAGGAGATCCTTCCGCTTCAGCCTCCCAAGTAGCTGGAGCTACAGGCATGCACCACCATGCCCGGCTAATTTTTTTATATTTATTGTAGAGACGAGGTCTCACCAAGTTGCCCAAGCTGGTCTCAAACCCATGGGCTCAGGCAATCTTCTCTTTTTTTTTTTTGAGTTGGGTTCTTACTCGGTCACCCAGGCTGGTATGCAGTGGCACGCTCATGGCCACCACCGCCTCAGCCTGCTGGGCTCAGGTGATCCTTTGCCTCAGCCTTCCAAGTAGCTGGAACTACAGGCATACGCCACCACGCCCGGCTAATTTTTTTTGATTTATTGTAGAGATGAGGTCTCGCCAAGTTGCCCAGGCTGGTCTCGAATCCGTGGACTCAGGCAATCCTCTCACCTTGGCCTTCCAAAGTGGTGGGATTATAGGTGTGAGCCACCACGTCCGGCCTATATATATATATATTTTTTAGCAAATTTTTTAGCAAATTAAGTTAGGCCTTTTAAAGTCCCATGGCTAGAATCCAGAAGAATTCAGGCAACTTGTCTCCTCATTCATCTGTTCATTCACCCATTCTTCCATTCATCCATCCGTGGATCCATCAAGCACCTGATATATGCTAGGTAGTAGAGATACAGAAATGAATCAGCATGGGGGGCGTGCAGGTGGGCAAACAGGTATGTGTATTCGTCAGTTCAGGTGCCATAACAATACCATACACTGGGGGGCTTAAACAGATGTTTCTTTTCTTACAGTTCTGGAGGCTAGAAGTGCAAGATCAAGGTGCTGGCTGAATCGGTTTCTGGTTTCTGGCTTGTAGACAGCCACCTTCTCCCTTTGTTCTCACTGGGCCTTTCCTCTGTGAGCACACATTCCTGATGGCTCTTCATCTTCTTATAAGGATACCAGTCTTAGTGGATTAAGGCCCCACCCTTATGACCTCATTTACTCTTAATTACCTCCTTAAAGGCCCCATCTCTAAATACAGTCATACCGGGGGCTAGGGTTTCACCATACAGCTTTACGGGCACACAGTTGAGTTCATAGCAGTATGTAAACACGTAGTCAGCAGTGTGATACATGTCCCAATAGAGATAAGTTTGTTACATATGGAAGTCCAGAGGAGGAACTTCTGGTTGCCAAAGAGGCTGCGGGCCCTTTACAATGTTTGTTGAAAGATGAGTAAGAGTTTAACAGGCAAAACCGTGGGGCCTGGTACTTGTGCAAAGGCCAGGAGGGTCCAAAGTACATAGAGCTTCTTGCTGGGGTTACAAGTATAAGCCACTGTACCTGACCTCTCCTACTTTTATTTTGTCTTATTTTGACACATTTTAAAAGTAAATTTTATGTAGTTTATTATGTAATGATGCTAGAAATGATTTGGCAGAATCTAGTTTAATACTCTCTAGACCTTCCTCTTGGCACATGTAAAAGAGAGTTTTACAGGTTAGTCTTTTGTACTTGACAGCTGGTCAGACAATAAGCTTGACTAAGCTCATTCAGATAGGAGGTGATGGGTAATGTTGTGATAATGACCAGACTTTAAAAGGGGATACAAAATTTTTAAAATTGTTTTATATAATGCAAGCACTTATTTCTCATACTAATGTCTTCATGTTTTAGGATTTCTGGTTATTATTCATAAGAATTGTTTATGACCTTCTCTATTTCTTTTTCCACTTCTCCACTTTTTTTCCTTTTCCACTTTTTGTTTATAACTTTATAGAAAATTAGCTTATTATAAGCAATTTACTTTTAAACTAGGTTTTGTGTGTGTGTTTTTAAGCTGGAATTTCACTCTGTTGCCCAAGCTGGAGTGCAGTGGCATGCTCACGACTACCGCAGCCTCAACCTACTGGGCTCAGGTGATCCTTCCGCCTCAGCCTTTC